AATTCAGTCAAAACGACTGTTTCGCAAACATTCGATTTCCTCAAAATCTAATCGGGAACTACCGCATCATCATTTGAGGTTGTGTAAACAAACATCGCGTGCATAATTAATTTAATGAATTAATACACTTTGGGAAAATACTACTCTCAAATGAGCATACTGGATGAATAATACCGTAGCGACGAAACCGCCGAGTTGGATTCATTATTTTTCGTGGTTTGTGATTAACCCCGTTCGTGGACTAACGATATTACTACTCTTGTTTGTGGGGAATCGATGATTCGTCAGAAGGTTTAAATCATCGATTTTTTTGTTTCCGAATATCTCAACTCTGACCGCTCTGATCAGCTGATTGGATGAGTCATCCAGAATGCACAACCCCAAACGGACTACCGCTCGATCGAATCAAATCACTCGTTTATCCATCATTGTGACGGTCTACAATTTGTCGAGCCAACATCAAACATCGATCTGAATAAATTCAATCTGATCCCGAAAAGCACAGGTACCAACATTCCTTCCCCGCTTACCTGTATGCCTCCATGAAGTAGCGGAGTCATCTTTGCAGACGTGACTGTCTGTTTTCCCAGTCGTTATTTGGCCTGGATCCGAAAACTTTTTTGTGAAAAGCTTTTCTAAGTTGAACCATTAGTTTTTCCCCAGTCATGTTGATGTAGTGAAACCGTTTAATGTGGAGGATATAAGTTTACTCCACTGTGGTGACCATTGTGGTTTTGTCCTGTTAAACTGTCTTTCAAAGTACTAAGCGCATTTTAGCTTATTCGGACATAAGCAGAGGACTCAAGCCGCGGGGGCCATGAGAAGCAGAAACGCAATATTTTGCTCTCACGTGACTCTTGTTTGAAAATCTCTCTTCCTGTCCTTGTGCGCACACATTAAACGATGGGGAAGCACTGGATTCGAGTTTCGCTGTGATCATCAACGGCTGATCTTCTTGGCTGTGCCGGGAGTGCGGCCACGGACCAATAGCTTTGACACACCAGTTCTCACGTGTACCGCCAATCCACCTATCAGATCGGAGCAGGTGGACGTGCTCACGCACGAGCGATATGATTGGTTGATTCAGTGGCTCAAATGGTGATTCAGCAGTTCTGCCTGTACATTCCGATACGCTGGTCATTGGTTCATTGCTGAAACATGGAAATTTTCGTACTATTTTGAAAAAGTGTTGAACAGTGAGAAAATTGGGGGAAGAAAAAATCAGTCGGACTGAGGAGGGGCTAGTTAGAAAATAGGTTGTTGTCGGCGTCATTCACGTCACAGCTCTCCTCCTGTCCTGGCGCACGTATTCTGAGGAGTTCACACGAAGAAACCCTGGATCCAAGTTTCGGTCTTGTTAGAGCTCATCAGCCGTGCATATCCTTAGCTGCACGGGGTTCGACCCCCGGATATCTGACATGCGAGGCGACCGTGTTACCAGTACTCCACCAACACACGATGGACACATTCGAATTCTGACATCTGAACATGCTTGCCAAAAGGCAGTAGCTTTCCTGGTTATGCTGAGCGATTGACACACTTGGAACTTCCGCTTCATGTAGTAACACGGGCGCTTGACCACCGCCTGACTGGTTATGGCCAGCTGTAGGTGA